CTTTTATTTGACTTTAATTTATTAATTTTTTTCCTTTTTTAAAAAATCTTTTCTTCGACTTTAATTTCAAGTTTTTAAAAAACTATATGTACACAATTCAAAAATTACTTTATCCAATAAAGAATTAAATAAGATTTAATTTACGGTATTATCTACATTATATAATTATGATTTTGAGACTCATTATTTTATTGAAAACTCTGAAAGCATGTATAAAGTTCATATAAATCTATTAAGTAAGCATTGTCTAGTTAAAAATTTAAATTATGAAAAATAGTTTAATTTTTGCATTTCAAAAATTTGTAAATTATATAATTGACTAATTATATGAATTATTAAATAAATATAGTATTTTACAATTTTAAATATTTGGTGTGTATTATGTTAATTATTAAATGATTTTTAGAATGATTAAAATAATATTAAAAATAAGGAAAAAAAATTTATGCCTAGGCTTCGCCTAGGATCATTTAAAATCGTAAAGCTTGAAGTTATATCTTCACGCTTAGCCACCTTTTACGCTTTTTAAAACATTGTAAGTTAGTCAGTTAAAAATAATAGCCTGTTTATTAACAATAAGGTAAAAATTACATCTAAAATAAGAGAATTCGATAAAATCAAATTATGATGAGCCAATCAAAGCCATTCTCACTATGATGATCACATTAGAACGGAGTACGAGGCAAATAAATTTTGCCTTCTTACTAAACTGTAAGAATCATATGTTAGCTTTGTTTTCTTAAGAAAGTGAAATGTCCCATCTTTTTGGAAGGTTGTAATACATTTGATTGTCAAAATCTTTATCATGTCTCACTATTAAATCACGTCTCATTATATGACTAAAACGTGTTTGTTACGATTAGGTCTAAATATTAGAGAGATTTTAATCAAACATTAGAAGCAAAAATCACAAAAAACTTAAAAGGCAACACAAGAACACAAAAATGGTTGCCCTGAGACAAGGTTCAGAGTAAGTTTCTAATCCCCTTTTGAACTTCCATCATCGGAAGAAAACCCATGCATTAAATTAGATCCTAATCTTCCAAGGTACAACTTCAAGAAACCAATAATCAAAATTACTCAAGATATATAGAATCTCTCTCTTGAATGGTTACTGTTCGCACGAACAATTAAACCTCACCTTCACTAGATTTACACTGGTCACTCAAGAATCAATAGTCTAGAAGAAGATTTAGAGGATGAAATAACTTTTAAATTTAGAAAACGGAGATAAAACTCAAAAAGAGAAGTATCGAGAACCCAAAAGCCAAAGTCCAGAACTCGAAGTGAATTGAAGAGAGAAAACGTAAATTGAGTATATTATAAAAGAGAAATGTTATCCATCCCCAGTGGGGATGCATCTCCAATATATGTGGCGTTAATGTGGCATTAAATGATATGTGAAATTAAATAAGTCATATCATTTAACCAATCATTTACATCCACATAGACTGAGGATTGGGATAATAAGCCATTTAATTTCACCTATCATTTAACCAATCATTTGCATCCACATAGATTGGGGATGAATAGCATTTTTCATTACAAAATCCCATCAGACTAGAGAGTATGATGGAAGCCACTAGAAGGTCGGCTAATCCAACAATGTGCGAGGTGACATTTGACAACATCTCATGCAAGATCTCCACTCGGAGAAGCATGTTTTCACAACACATTGCAAATTGTAAAGTGGAACACGATTTTTACCTTAATTCAACAAATGAAAAGTCAAGAGCCGGTCCAACTAGCAATCAACATCATTCTGGTCAACAGTGTAACATAGTCCAACAATGTTGATTCCACAATTAATTGGATCGACATTCTCACCCCTCTTTCCCATATTGGTGCTTACAAGAGATAAGCTAGGCTACAACACATATTACGATACAATGCACATACAGAGTGATACATTACATGTACCAAGAACCAAATGTGTAAAAATTAATGTAAAAGAGTAATGCCACTTTGGTAGATGAATATGACATCTTAAATGACGGATGAAAGCGCAACAACAAGTGATTGGTGCAAAAACTATCTTTTTATTTAAATTGACCAATGATAGAATGTAATGTGGCATTATGCCAAGAAAGATAGCAAATCTGTCTGGTAATATAGCAAGGTTGAATGTAAAATGAACACATGTTAGCGAAATTGGAAGCCAAATCCTTCTGTAAAAAAGATTCAGTCGGTACTGGCCTAATATTCGAGCAGTGTGTTCAAAATCACTATGGTCTTCGGTCACACCAACCTCCAATGTTATTCCATTCATATGTCCAACTTCTTTATATGATTAGTTATCTTGAATGTTATAACATTCTTTTCTAATATATTTAATTTAAATGACCTAGTTTATTTTGAATTGACAATTGGAAATTACACGGCATAGTTTTTTAAAGATTACAATTCAAAAAAAACAAGTTGAAGGTTTGTTTATTCAAAAATCAGGTGGTAATTCTATATTTTAATAATAATAAATTACACACCACCCTCTAACCCATCCAAGCCAGATTTAATCTCAATTTCGTTTCTCCCTCCCTTCTTTCTATTAATCTCTCTCTACTTTTCCTCTCTACCATTTTGGATTTACACTATCTCTTTCACCATTTCCCTTCTAGTCTCTCTGGAAGCAGAAACCAATTTCTAAGAACTCACTTTCCCAATTTTTCGATTAGGACTCAAATTGTCGCTACAACAATTTTGTGGTGGTTTGCGGTAGTTTGTGTTGAGAGTTTTTGGTAATTTTTGTGATGGTTTGCGGTAGTTTATGTGGTGATTTTGTGGTGGTTTTGCAGCGGTTTTGTGGTGGCGGTGGCGACGCTTGTGTTGTTGGTGATGGTCACATGTTTATAGAGTGTATGTCAAATGTTGTGTTGATATTGTTGGTGGTGTCGATAGTGGTGATGGTCATAGGCCACATGTACCAAGTCACTAGTTATTGTGCATTGGTTACATTACATAAAAATATTTTAAAAGTCACAAATCACAGGATGGTCACAAATCATGTTTGTATGTCACAAGTCACACTCCACATGTTATGTCATAGATCGATGACTATCGTGTGTGGGTCGCTGATCAATGTTCACAGGCCACAGGTCACCATGCTAGGTCACAGGTCAATGTCCATAGGTCACATATCAATGTCCACATGTCACAGATCAATTAAAATTGGTCATAGATTAATGTCCATAAGGTTACATGTAGGTCAATGTCTATAGGTCACGAATCACAAATTCAAGAGATCTATTCACACACCACTGATATCTTCGACCCCAGTTCTCCGAATTGGTCACAAATTCAATTAACCATATTTCGACAATGAGAATTCAAATTATTTGCTCAAGTAAGTACTTTGTAAATCACACCATTGGCTGTTTTTGAATTTCTAATTTTAAAAAATAGATTTAAATTACATCGATACCGCTCAATCGTCGATAATGCTCTGTCAATGTTCTCCAACAGTCGCTATGTTTCTCCCTCTATTTATACTTTTTGAGTCTGTGATGCTCAGTCGTCACTAAGCGACGATCAGTTCGTCATTGAAGAAGTTGTTGGCTATCTCTATAAATTCTATATTTCCTCCGGTGAAATTATTTGAATGTCGATAACCGTGAGGGTTGATGCTGACAACTGTACGAGGGAACGAAGACGTAGGGGTGTGCGGGAGTGGGGTGAGTGGGGGCGAGGGTTTGGTAGGGTGGGTAGATTAATTTAATTTAATAATATTATTATTTAAAATTAAAATATTGAAATAATACCTGATTCTTGAAATTTTAAATTTAATCTCTGAAAATTGAACTTGTACATGCTTGATGCCTGATATATAAATTTTTTCCTTGACAATTTGACATGCGAAAAGAGGGAGGTCCAGTCTAGAAAGTCACAACATGGCCCTTGCTAGGTTTGACGAGGCAGGAGCAGATTAGGGTTTCTGTACAGTGGGACCCAGAATGACGTCATCATCATGGGACTTTTCGAGTGGGCCAATAACCATGCCCTCAAATATCGAAACAAGTCCCTCACTAGCCCTGCCCTCTGCTTCTGTACCAATTGATTAGATACAGTGGTCTCCATTTTTATTTTTCTTTTTTTCGCAGATAAACTTCATAGTTATCTACTTATTTTCAAAATTAAAAAATATTATTGGATGTCAAGGACCGATGTGCCACCTATGTTTATTCTCCACTCTTCCTTTGTCAAAGAAACTAATTTTGAACATGTATTTTTTAATTAAAAATTTATTTTTAAATAGTAAATTGATGAAAAATATATGATTAAATAATAAAAAATTTGTATGAATTTATGTGTAATATTATTTGGTAGGAATTAAAATTAAAATTTTAATTTAAGTCAAAATAACTATTGAATTTTAACTACATATTTCAAATGTCTCACAACTTTTCAATCATAATATCATTAATTTTTATTAAAATTTACTATAAATTTAATTTTAATCTCAAGCGTGGCTAAACGAGAAAAATGTGGTATGTTCTACAAGCGTGTATGTAAGCTCCTGTTTGAGTCACATTCTCATTTTCATTATAATTTTCCTATTCATTTTCAATCACGCATTTTTCGATAAAATAATATTTTTCATCACAGCATTTCATTTTTTTTCAACCACATATTTATTATTACATTACAAAAAAAATGCATTCTTTCCGTTTTAGCGTGTATCAAGTACATTCCAAATAGAGTAATGAATATATCTAGGCTCTATTCACAAAATCCCTAGGCTCTATTCACAAAATCCAAAATACAAACTACAGACAAGTAGACAAGTCTACATCACGTGCATTGCTGTAGACCACCCACGTCACCCAAAGAACCTTCCAGCCTGTCAATACCAAACATAACTCCTCCCAATCATATGCCCCCACGTGGCAACTTGATGTTGACACTCCTATCCCGACAGCTGTCCTCCTCCTTTCCCTTCCCATTCCCCCAATATAAATACCACCTCTCTCCCCATAACTTCAAGCTTTCAAGAAGTAAATCAAGTCATGGCTTCAAATTACTGTTCTTCCACCGCCACTTCTATGTTTTTACTCTTCTTCTTCTTGTTCACCTCTTCCTCTATGGCTACTTTGGTACAGCAACAGCCCCTTTTATTGAAATACCACAACGGGGACTTGTTAAAAGGCACCATCACCGTTAATCTCATCTGGTACGGAAAGTTCACTCCGATCCAACGCTCCATAATCGTCGATTTTCTGCAGTCTCTAAACTCTCCCAAACCCCCAATACCCTCTGTTTCTTCCTGGTGGAAGACTACTGAGAAGTACAAGGGAGGTGGTTCATCTACACTAGTCGTAGGAAAACAAATCCTTGACGAAAATTACTCTCTTGGAAAATTCCTCAAGAATTCCCATTTAATTTACTTGGCATCCAAAGGTGGGCACTTAAGAGGGTCGATTAACGTTGTTTTGACGGCAAAAGATGTCGCCGTTAATGGGTTCTGCATGAATAGATGTGGTAGCCACGGGTCAACCCGTGGCCTGACTCGGTTTGCTTATGCTTGGGTGGGAAACGCGGAGACTCAGTGCCCGGGTTACTGCGCCTGGCCTTTCCACCAGCCCGTTTACGGGCCGCAGTCACCACCTTTACTGGCACCTAACGGTGACGTTGGAGTTGACGGGATGATCATCAATCTGGCCACGGTTTTGGCGGGAACAGTGACGAACCCGTTTAACAACGGGTATTTTCAGGGCCCTGCTACGGCACCACTGGAGGCTGTCACTGCTTGCACGGGTGTGTTCGGGTCGGGCGCTTACCCGGGTTACGCCGGTAAATTGTTGACGGATAAGAATACTGGATCCAGTTACAATGCGCACGGGGTGAACAACCGGAAGTTCCTGGTCCCGGCGATGTGGGACCCGCAAACATCTCAGTGTTCGCCGCTCGTCTGATTTGGATACCGGAGAAATAGAGAAATTATCCAGTGTTGACACATGTAAGTATAATGTAAATAGACGTTTGGAGAAAGGAGTCTACGGACGGGTTTGGAACCTTGTGATGAGGATGAGAGTGGGGGTGGGGTTATCCGTTGCCGTTTTGTATAATATATGTAAAGCCACTTTTCGTACGGGAAAAATGTGAGAAAATGCAACTTGGCAAACATAAAAATAATAATGGGGATAATTTTGAGAAAGTACGTTGCTTTTCGCGCAAGGGATAATGAATGGATTACCAACACCAACAGGCTTCTCTCTCTCTCTCTCTCTCTCGGGCAGAATGGTACTATTGGTTCCTAATGTATTATCAATAGTCTGTCAGTTCGGCTAGTCAAAATTCGGTCTATGGACGACTTGCGATCGTCTCGGGATGAGCTCCGGTCGAGTCGGGGTTTGTTCGGACTCGCGAACGAGCCTCGTAAAAAATGTGAAGAAAAATGTTAAAAAATAATAATAATAATAACATTAAAGAAAATACGAGCGCGTGGGCTCGACTTGACTCGTGACTAAGCTCATGGTTCGGCCCATTGTCACAACTATATCCATCGGAAATTGGTCATTAACCTATAAAAATTAGCTCATCAATCTTCAAACTCCCGTTTTAGTTGCGAAATCAAATATTTTATCTCAATAAATCTTCAAATGGTCTACATGAAAGTTTCTCATTTATAGCATTTAGGCATAGTTTCAAATTGTGACATACTTTTGTATCATTTATGAGTAATTGACAATTTTTAAAGATCAGTTGCACAATTGAATAATATTTTTCGTCAAAACATCACTTTTTCGAGGCGGCGATGATAGGATTGTTGAATCATGGGAAGGTATTATGTAGCCTAGGTGCAATCCGTGATGGCTTAGGTTTTCATGTGCAATACTATAATAAACCTCCACGTATTTGTATAGCAGCATGATGAGTATACTCGGCAGCAGTAGTGGAAGTAAAGCTGTAATTAAGTACTTATTTAATACAACTTAGCCTCAATTATTCCACTGTAATTTTGGCCCTATTTGGGAGAGATTTTGATTTTAGTGGCAAACATTAAAAAAAGTGATAGAAATTTAAAAAAGTGACAAAACACCAATTAAAACATTATGGCCCTGTTTGGGAGAGATTTTGATTTTTCTACAGTAAATCAATTCTCATTTTCAACCACAAAATCTTCAATAAAATAATATTTTTCATCACATCAATAATTTTTTCTTCTTTTTCAACCACACATTTCCCATCATATCACTATTCAAAATCAATTTTACCCCCAAAAATCCCTCCCAAACAAGCTCTTTTTTGACAACGTGTGACTAATTTTTTTTTTTGATTTACGTATAATATTATTTTATTAGAAAATGTATGGTTGATAAAAAGAAATATAAAAAGAAATTATAATTTAATGAGGAATAATATTGCCAAACGGGGGCTTAATTTCCTCCTGAAAGTTGTTTAGGGACTGTTCTCTTTGTATTTCAATTTTGTGTTTTGAGTTTTGAATTCATTTTGAGTTTTGTGCTTTTTAGTGTCCATTTTCAGATAGTTGAAAATGTGTTCTTTTTGGTATTTTGAAAAATTGTTTTGAAAATACTCAAAACGCGTTTTGAAAATTTTGACTTGATTATAATTGAAAACACAAAAAACGACAAATTTGTCGTTTTGAGTTTTCTTTGTAAATTTTTAATTTGTTTTCAAAAACACGTTTTCGAAAATAAGAAAGAGAATATATTTTCACTATTTTGGAAAATCGAAAACAAAAAACAATTTAAAAATGATAAAGAGAACAGACCCTTAACTATTACTTTATGAACTCGTTTAATAAAAAAATAAGAACAAAAATCAAATGGGACCTTTTAATTTATCAACCTATTTACATGCCGTTACATGAACTGTCTATGATCGAAGAGTGCGTCCATGAATAGAAGCATTTTTATTTTATTAATTAGCAGACTAGGTACATAAAATTAGGCTAGCTCACGGCTGTAATTTTTATGGAAATGGTATGGCTAATACATTTTAGAGCCTTGTTGCTTTGGCTAAAAGGTATGATCTCCAATTGGTTGTTTTGAAAAAGGATTACAAGTTTGTTTGGGAAAGGTTATTTGATGAAAAAGTAATTTTTGTTTCTTAGAATATGTAGTTAAAAATGAAGTAAAAGTTAAGCTTTCAAGTACAAATTTTTTTTTTTGAGAAAATGTATGATTAAAAATAAGTTAAAAATAATTTTTTTTCCTAATAAATTGTACCAAACAAAAGTGTAACATAAAAAGACAGGAGTGATGTAGTCTCAACTGAGCTGGCAGCCGCAGTGTGATGATTCGATTCCTACCTCTTACAAGGTATGAAATTGGACTCTTTGTGGGCACCAGTATGACAGCTCTTGTGCCCTTACCTGTTGAGGCATATCCCGCTATTTACCTCATCCACAATGCTTTAGGGGCAGGGCGGTGGGGGACCCTCAAGATAGGGGTTCAACCTTTTTTTAAAAAAACGTTCGACAAATAAATAATTGGATCTTAAATACTTGTTTAAGAAGGCTAAAGTTGAACTGCAGCTTAAATTAAAGAGTCATAATTGATTGGAATCTAGAGTTCTTAAATAATGACATGAAGGGAGATAATGGAGGCTTCAAGTGTGTGCACTTCATAAATATTCTTTCCTGAATAATTTTATTCGCATTAAAGTCTATGGATAATTTTCAAACGTGGTATATATGTAGCGGTTTGTGATTTGAAACATTAATGTGGTAATTTTTATAAACTTGTGCATCAAATTACAAACCGTCATATATATGCCACGTATGAAGATCACCGGTAATTTTCACTACAAATAAATTTTCTTTTCTTTTATTTAAAAAGAATGATATATTAGTCATTTTACCATGTAAAATAGTGAAAATGACGTTTTGCGCAAGGAAACGTTGAAATAAAGGCGAAGATGCAAAAAATTGGAACGTAGGGACGTTTTCCACAATAGATGTCAAATGTAGGAATGTTTTACGCTATTAAACCTTTTTAAAACGTTGGACAAAGAAATAATTGGATCTTAAATACTTGTTTAAGAAGGCCAAAGTTGAACTGCAGCTTAAATTAAAGAGTCATAATTGATTGGAATATCTAGAGTTCTTAAATAATGACATGAAGGGAGATAATGGAGGCTTCAAGTGTGTGCACTTCATAAATATTCTTTCCTGAATAATGTTATTCGCATTAAAGTCTATGGATAATTTTCATACGTGGTATTTATGTAGCGGTTTGTGATTTGAAACATTAATGTGGTAATTTTTATAAACTTGTGCATCAAATTACAAACCGTCATATATATGCCACGTATGAAGATTACCGGTAATTTTCACTACAAATAAAATTACTCTTCATTTTTAATGGTGCAATTGAAATGACTTGTGCCCAAGCAAGATTTTACCTTCAAGTAGTACTCAACAGGGTGCAGAAATCTCCATAGATGGGAAAGTGTCGACGAGGAAATCAAGACGACTAATTATGGCAATAAATTACCTTATCATCTTTTTTAAATCTATTATGGCAACAAATGACTTGCACTTATTATTATTATTATTAATTTTTTCTAATAATGGTTTCTTTTCTTTGTTGTTTTATCCTAAGCACATGTAAGAATATTTAATTAGTATTATATCTATATTAATATATTTCTCGATGACAAAAACTGTCTTGCCCTTTTGCCATTTAATTTCAAAGGCACAACTTGTCGACATTCGACACAATTGTATTATAAACGGAAAACCAGAGGTCCGATAATTTGCTTTCTCTAGCTTGTTTGGGAGGGATTAAAATCAGATTAAAATTAAAAATATGGCTGTTGGAGTTGACTTTTATTAGACGAGTGGAACCCAATAACGGCTATATTATCAATTTTAATTGGATTTTAATTCTTCCCAAACAAGCTAATAATGTTTTGTTGTAAGAAGCTTGAATGGGTGGTGTTGTTTTTCAAAGGAGTAATGCTATTTGCAGTAGCTCACTATCGTAGTCATTCTACGTGACATACATGTTGTGGTTAGTGATTTGATGCATGACGACTACGATAGTAAATAACTGCAAATAGCATTATTCTTTCCAAATTGTACATTATGTAAGGCCAGTTAATGTAAATTCCTCAACCGAATAACACTTAAAAGGAGAAAATACAACGTAAGAAGAAAATAGCCTTTATTTCTCAGTGCATTTTTTTTTCTTTTAACTTTTCGCTCTTTTTTCACCAATTTCACCAATCTTGACAATGGCAAGAAATATGAGCCTGTAAAAAACTACCATCCCAAATAAAATGGCAAGATCAATCCATTTAGAGTACCCCATTTCAACCTGCCAAATATCCCTCAAAATGGTTTCCCCATCAATAGTATAAGCCCCTTCCAACTGATCATTAGGAAATCTTAGGCCTTCAAATTCATTCTTATACAATCCTTGGTACGCGTACTTATGGAACGCGATGTAATAAAGTGGATATTTCCAGAACAGTTTGGGGAGATCGTTCGGCAATTGAAAGAATCCACCACTTAACATCATTAACCCTTGAATACCAGCACCAACAATCAGCCCCAGAAGGAAGTTTGGCATGATACTTGCCACGATCATCATTAGGCTCTCGACCAACATCATACATGTAAAAAGGACTAGTATGAAGTACAAAAATTGTATGTATCCTGGATGAAGGCCGACAAGATAGTAAGTAATTGCACCAGGAATTGTAGAGATGAGTAGTAAAAAGGGCGTTGAAGAGATTGTATTTCCAACTACAAATGCTGAAGCATCGTAATGCCCGTTTAATCTCTCACATCGAAAAACCTGTGAGCAAGAAATATGATGGAAAAATTGAAGTGGTGATATATTGGTTGATTTAATAGGGTACCAAACTCACCTTCAAGTCTTCAACAAATGAAGGGAAGCCACCAATTGCCATGATAGTCAACAGTGAAGCTACAAACATGAGCAATGAACCTCTGGCCTGAATCATTGAAAATACAGAAAATACTTCTGAGATTATATTATAATCAGTAAAAAGAACTCTTGATAAAAATTTCTCTAATACAACTCACATGAATGGAGTTGTAGCTACTCCCTACTTCATAAAACACGGTTCCAAGACCTAAACACAATGCAATGTACATGCACAGCCGTAACCAGTAGTAGCCTTGGTCACGGTACATATTTATAAATGATCGTTCTGTGAGAACGAGGCATTGTGTTAATAAGTTAGTTTGGTTCCCCTTCTCCGATTGCCCTCCTTCCTAGAGTACAAAAAAACACGTTAAGTAATATCTACAAGATATCATTTTGATTTCTGTGTTACAAGAAATACTTCAGTTTCTTACAAGTCTATGTAACTCAGCAACCCGTCTTTCTGTCTCCTCACACATGCCGGATGATCTATAAGATCTTACAAGCAGATTAATTACTTCCTCAGTAGTCATTTTCCTTCCAGAGCCCAGTTCAATATCCTAATAAAAGCATAAATACTTCAATCGAAAGTTCAATGGACATGACAAGGAAATCTTCTCTGAGTAAGCACGAAGTACATTCACACACCTCATCAAAATCAGTATTGATCATTCTAACATAGTGATCCGCGGGATTCTGGAGAGCTGGACATGTAAAACCATTCATGGCAAAAAACTAATTTGAATCAAAACAGAGTCAGTAGTCACAAACCATCCCATCTTTTATATATACTACTCCCATATAATAAAAGTATTTTAAACTCACCTCATTTGCTGCATAGGAGGGACCAAAATATATTGTTCTACCCTGGGAGAGGAGGCAAAGATTGTGAAGAAGCTCAAACACTTCACTAATAGGTTGATGGATGGATGCTATAATGGTCATTCCATGTTCCCGGGAAAGTTTGACTATTCTGTTCATGACAAAGTAAGAAGCTGCACTATCAAGTCCACTTGTTGGTTCGTCAAGAAAAAGAAGCTTCGGTCGCCTTAGAAGTTCTATGCAAATGCTTACTCTTCTCTTCTGCCCGCTACTAATGCCTTTGCATCCCAACCCTCCAATTGTAGTATCTATAGAATCAAGCAACCCCATCTCCCTTATAGACCTCTCAGCAACCTCCCTTTTCTCCGTTTGTGACATAGTAATTGGCAATTGAAGCTGAGCAGAATAGTATATGGCTTCTCTAACTGTTAACGTCCATGTTAGGGTGTCCTCATGTGTTACATAGGCCTAAATAGAAAACAAGAAAATGCGCACATTTCAAGACATCTATGTTTCATTTTATTGGGACACTCAACATGAATAATCACGAATAATAGATTTATGTTAGTAGAACGATTGAAGAACAAATACTTGGACGTTTCAATAAAATAGATTAACATGAAATCAAATGAGTGGCGGAATAGCTCATACTGAAGTTCCATATGCCAGCTTCTGTTTCCGACCATTTATCAGGATTTCTCCTTTCTGTCTTGTTCTTGAATTTAATCTCCCTGAAATCGGTGCCACAGTATTCAGCACGAGAGAATTCATTCCCAAAAATGAAAGAAATATACATTAGGAATCAGCCTTAATCCTGAACACAAAAATCTTACCTTTTCAAACAAGATTACAAGAGATGGAACACATTGCATAAATATGATAATAAGACGGACTGCAATCAAACCACCTTTTTTATCTACACATTTTGAGGGATGCACAAGTACTACCCACCTAACCACCACTTATTTATTATCTAGTTATGATTTAAACCATTTATAAACGCTTTGCAGAAATGCTTGAGCACAATCCATTTCAATAGCAGCATTAAAAATGAAGAGACAAAAAACATTTACCAGCCAAAGCATCAAGAAGAGTGGACTTGCCACAGCCAGAAGGACCCATAATTGCCAAAACCTCACCAGGGCAAGCGTAGCCAGTTAGCCCTTCAAGTATTGATTTTGTGCCATCTTTTCGGGTCGAAACTGTGACCCAAAGGTCCTTCCATGTCAAGTGAACTCCATTGCACGGAACCAAATCAAGTATTTTTGAATCAAATAATGACCCACAAGTTTCAAACATCGTGTTTTTCTCTTCACAGTGTGACACGAATGAAGCCATGCATACAGAGACTGTTGAATTCTGATGCAAGAGGTGCTTGGATTTAAGGGGTTCAAGGGCTCGGATTTTAGATCCACTGAATCTGCATATGAAGACTGAAAATTCTAAGAACTGGCCCTTTTCTCCATGTCACTCTCGTGACTCTTGAATGAAGCCAATTTAATGCCATTGAATAAGCATTATATTTTGCTTTCGTTTTTACAAAATCAAGGCTAAGTAACGCTTCAGTCTAAATGCCAAGTGGTCATTGTTGACAAATTTTATTCCTGGGGATGAAAATTACAAGTACAAAGTGTTGAACCTAAAGATTCTATCGTATGGCATTACTTCTATATTTTTATATATTTTTTTTCAACCACACATTTTTCAATAAAATAATATTATACGTAAACTTAAAATTTCTCCTTATTTTTTAATCACACATTTTCTATTAATCTACTATTTCAAAATGCGTTCGGCACAAAAAGGGGCTCAAACAAGCTAATAGTGATTCAAGTTTAGACAAAATTAAAGTATAATGACTTAATCGCCATAAACTAAAGCTTAATGACTCAATAAAAACTCGGGTGTAAGACAATGACCGCCGGTGAAATTAACCCTGATATAGTGATATGTATATATTCGATCCCGCCCAAACGCGCCCCCACTCCCTGATTCTTCTTCCAACGCCTTACCTCTCCCTGGCGTTCACCGATTGTGATGGAGGATAAAAGTGAGCCCAGAAAAGCTCTAGCTGGGTTCTTGATAAAGTATCACTCGAAGCAGCTGGAGTCCATAATCCTCTCTCCTGACCCTCGAATTCACTATCCTATACATATTGAGTAAGTAATTTTGATACTTGAATTGATGGACCCATAGTAAAAATTTTCATTTTTCAACAGTTTTGCAGAGTTAATGGATGAGAGCCCGCATCTCGCAAACCTCATTTTCTCACAGTCCATCGAATATTTATCATTTTTTGACGAATCCGCGATTTGGGCTCAGGTTTTATTTCAATCGTACTTCATATGTCCAGTAATTGTTTTGGTCCACACAATGTTGGTTGGAATAGAAGTATCTGTATATATGCTTCTTTTTTTTTTAGATTGTGTATATGTGATGTACTGTTGGAATGCGTAGAAAGTGATGTTCGAGGATTTCAAGAAATTTGAAAATGCAACTGTGAAGGAACATGTACACGTTCGTGTTAATGTCTGTGGTTCTCCTCTCGAATGCCCTGGTTAGTTTCCTTTGATTCTATGCTTAAATATGTTAGATTTTCTGGGCTATTCTTTTGGGGATTCTCTTTATGTTTAAATTGATATATGTCACAAAAATATAAAAAAAATTGATGGATGTATTAATCTTCTGTGAATGTTTTAGAAACATTTCCGAGTATTGGACGTGTGAGAGTGAAGCACCGTGGGATTCTTCTCACCCTCAAAGGGACAGTAATCAGGTCAGGAGCAGTCAAGATGATTGAAGGAGAGAAGATTTATGAGTGTCGATTATGTAAACACAGGTCCGAGTTGTCTGTTCATATGTTCTAACATTTTCCTTTCACTACATTTGCAACTTATTTTCTTCAAAAAAATTTAGCTACTATCAAACTATATATCATAATAGGCTTGTCTTTTATCCTGGGCATAAATTTGAAAAATCAGGAATACATGAAAAATGATGTGTTGTAAGTACAATATGCTGCTATTAGTTGAAACAAAATCGAGACTGTATCACACAAAGAATCTGCAAACACGATAGCTTTATGCAAGGATTCTTATAGTATCCAAAGCTGATCACTTCTTCCAATTATAAATTTCATCATGATCCACAGATTCATGGGAGTGCATCAGCTCCACAACTCAGTTATTAAACTATACATGTGTTTTCGCCTCTATATGATTTTTAATTGCACAATTACAGTGTATTCTTTCCTAGCTCATTGGATAAATAATGAGACCAGCCTTGTTCAGTAAAGGTGGCACAGGAAGGGGAGATGTGTTCAGAATATGACACACTAAAATTGGCCATAGTAAAATCAAATACCTCTATAATGTTGACTTCAAAAAATTTAGCCCTGGTCCATGGCAGCCACTCCTTTAATGCCTGATGGCATTAATCTTTAAACTGTTCATCTGCTAAAATGAAAAACTTGCATGCAGGTTCAAAGTTCACCCAGAAGTCGAAACTAGAAATTCCATACCCAAGCCAACATTTTGCCCCTCTCAGGTTTGTTTTATTGTCCACATGTTCAGAACTGGACCAATTCTAGCTAACAAGTCTACAAGCTAACCTTCATGAAGCTTGACCTTGCTCGTTTGAGTATTTAAACTGGATCAGGCTCGGAAAAGGTTGAACCTATTTTTAGCCTTGCTTGATCCTAGCTTGTAAAGACTGCGAACCAGTTCAGCTTTACTGCTTGATCCCAGGCACTTAAAATTTGATTTAATTTTGCACGTATTTTAGATTTGAAAATTTTCTTAAGTTCTTGTGATCTTGATCTTGTTTCATGTAGAATTGTGAAAGCACACGTTTCCATATTGTAGAAGACACCAAAATATGTCATGATTATCAGGAAATTAAAATCCAAGAGAGTACTCAGGTTTTGGGTGTTGGAGCTATCCCTCGTTCAATTCCTGTTATACTGAAGGACGATCTCGTGGACATAGTTAAAGCTGGAGGTACACATTACGATGAGCTTATCTTTTTTACTTGCCTTCTTGGGATATTACAATATTTGCATATTGCTAAGGAAGTTATCCCCTCACTACAAGTGTGTTTTTGAGACCTAGTGCAGAGTCCTCAGTTTGTAGCTTAATTACTTTCAAATTCAACAGCGAGCAATGAAATTATAAGGTGGGGTGATCTTCTCCAGATTATCCAAAAGGGAAAAATGTAATTTGTGCTTGCTGTGTTTGGCGAATGCTAGTAGGAATAGATGCACAACTACTTGATAAATATTAATTTGGATGTTATAAAGTTGTAGAGAAACTCAGTCCTTTTTGTAGTTATTACTAGCATGCTATGATGCACCGACACGTGATTTTTGTAAAAAAATATTGACATGATATATCGTTGACACGTTAATTAAATTCTTTAAAATTCTTTATTTTTACGTATAAATTTAGTTTTATACTTATTATTATATTTTTTTGTGAAAACTTTTAAACAAGGGTACCTATTTATTATTTAGTAATAATTTTGATTTAAAAATATATAATATTTCTGATAAAGAAAGAAAAATGATAATAGAGTGTCCATCTATCCTAGTAGAAGTGTCCGTGCAACAGAGCTGCCATGCAAACCCAAGTGAATTGCTTCTCTTTTTCTCTCACACAGAGAAATGGTTTAGCGCCCATTTGGCCCCAATTATTCTCTAATTATAATGAGAATTTGATTTTTATATAGTAATTTTCTGGAGAATGTGTGGTTAAAAATGAGGAAAAATTTTGGGTTTACATGTAATATTATTTAATTGAAAAATGTTTGGTTGATAAAAAAAGAGAGAAAAATGAATTATAATTTAATGGGGGCTAAACAAATGCTTAGTTTCTTGTATTTTGTGCTTTTCTAGGTAGGCTCAGTTTCATTCCACATTGCCAGAGAAAACATTACATTAATTCTTTTATTGGAAAATGTGTGGTTGATAAGAAAAGAGAGAAAAGTGAATTATAATTTAATGGGGGCTAAACAAATGCTTAGTTTCTTGTATTTTGTGCTTTTTTAGGTAGACTCAGTTTCATTCCACATTGCCAGAGAAAACATTACATTAATTCTACACATTTCCTCATTGTGCTTTAATACCTTCCAATGCTACTTATATTTTACACTATACATTTGCTATTGATGCATAATTATTTTTCTGCCTTATCTTTCAGATGATGTGATAGTTACTGGGGTTCTGACAGCAAAATGGTCCTCTGATATGAAGGGCGTGCGCTGTGACCTTGATCCTGTATTAATTGCTAACCATATAAGGTAAACGGCATAGTTTCTTTTATTTTCTCCTATGCTTTACTTATTTTTCACGTGATATTATACATAAGCAATTGAGGAGTAAAGGTAAATTGAGGACTAAATTCTTATAGCTTGCAGAAACCTTACAGTACATTATGATGCCTTTACAACTGGTGGGAAAAAAATATAGTTATGAAGGTGATAATTACGTAGTTTGACAAATGGAACTGCCTCTCATTGTCTAAGTATTTCTACCTTGATTACTTTTGTCTTTAGGAGGATGAATGAGCTAAAGTCAGGTATCGATATCCCCGACGATGTTATTTTAAAATTCAAGCAGTTTTGGTCGGAATTTAAAGATGCCCCACTGAAAGGTAACAGATATTAATAACATATGCTGTCTACTTGATTTCTGGGTCCTATATGCCTATTTCTTCTCAAAATGTTTTAGGCAGGAATGCCATTCTACGAGGTATCTGTCCACAGGTGTTTGGACTCTTCACTGTAAAGCTTGCAGGTATTTCCCACCGAATTCTGTTATTTAATGGTTGAAAAAGTTTTACAATCTTAGGATTGTGGTGATTCAACATAAAGTTCTATTTCACGTAGTTGCCCTAACACTTATTGGTGGGGTCCAACATGTTGACGCTTCTGGGACAAAAGTTCGTGGGGAGTCTCATTTGCTTCTGGTTGGAGATCCTGGTAAACATTTAATTTCTGTACCATTGCCTGCTTCGTGATGACATAGCTGCTGATCTGATTTAACTGCAGACTGCCCTGCAAGGTTTTTTTTACCCCGAAGTCTGAATTGTCCTTTCAGGACTCATGGACTCTTGTAGCAATATTAATTCTTTTCAGAATTTTAGACGCATAGTTCTCAAAGCTAGGTTTTCATCAATAACTTCTAAAAATGTATAGTAAATTTGGTTCTACCAGGAACTGGAAAGTCTCAGTTCTTGAAGTTCGCTGCTAAATTGAGCAACAGATCCGTTATTACAACTGGATTAGGAAGTACTAGTGCTGGATTGACTGTTACCGCAGTCAAGGATGGAGGTATTATTAACTTTATTAGCTATCTGTTTTCTCTTTGAGTTTCATTTAGATCCATACAGTGCCTCACAGAATAGATTCTTACCCATTTCTTTGAGCAGATAATTTTGGCATCTCAGTAGTTTTGGCCTTACAAAAATTTGTATGTATATATATTTTTTTGTTATAACACATTAGAAAAAATTACAGGGGAATGGATGTTAGAAGCTGGGGCTCTTGTATTGGCAGATGGCGGCCTTTGTTGCATAGACGAGTTCGACAGGTACTGCCTCTGAGTGACATCATCACGTTAGTGTCCTGGAAGAAAGAAACCAGCAAAAGATAATGTTTTGCACTTGCAGATAAATATTTTGAAGATATAGCTTTACAATGTTAGATGGCATCTTTAGAGCCTGTTTGGTGTACATTAAAATAAGAGAATGCATTTTTTTGAAGTGATGTGATAAGAAATATGTGGTTGAAAATGAAAGAAAAGTTATTGATGTGATGGAAAATATTATTTTATTGAAGAATGTGTGGTTGAAAATGAGTAGAAGAATGAGAATGAAAAAAATAATGTGGGTCAAACATGGGCTTAATCACAGGTTGCTTAACTATACATGGAAGTCCTTGATCAGATCTGCCATAATAAATTATGGTAGTTATATAAACACTTCCCCAAATTCTCATTCAATGAAGAAAAAGGGAAAGGCGTCCAATAATCTATTATTGTTTTTCATTTTGTTTTTCGTTAATGTTATTGCTAACCAATATTCACATCCCGTTTGCACTTCACCTCTTTGACAATGAAAAATACCATCTTTGTTGTTTCAAAAGGGATGCTTGAATGATAAGCAGTTCGTGTAGTGCTACATTCTAACTAATGTAACTTTCTTTTTGTTTTAGCATTTTACAGTTACAACACTTAACTTTTTTTGTTTGATAGCATGAGGGAACATGATAGGGCAACCATTCATGAGGCTATGGAGCAGCAAACAATAAGTGTAGCCAAGGTATTTTGACAATTTCTGTAACAGCTGTAACATAATGCTTTCTAGGACAATATCTCGTTTCTTGTATTCTTTCTGTAGCAGAAGGTTCATCTTATTTTTTAGTTTACATTATGTATATGAATATTGGGAAGTGCTACGAGTACATTAGGGGTGCAATATGGTGTCCATAATGGACACATGGCACCCCTAATGTACAAGAAGAATTATCCATGAATATTTGATATCAGACATGAAACTTATTTATGACATAGAATATATAATTTTCATATACTGAGTAGCAGAGAATAGAGATCATGGTTTGAGTCATGAAAATTGCCCTAAACTTGCAGTGCGAGGCTATGGTATCCAATCATCTAGAGACCTCATAATCATAAGAGCCTTGTACAGTGTCTACTCTCTACTCCTAATTTTCTTCTCAAATCGTTTCATAGCATATATGATAGCATAATATTCTGTGATTATTGAGCTGTACAATGTCAAAAGTACTTTCCTGGCTCTGGATGCTTCTCTATTTTAGGTTGTTAGAAAAAATTAAACTAAATTTTCCATGGTTTTATACATTTTATTTATGTTTCTGTCTGCCAGTATATTGAAATAACTGTTCAAATAAATTAAAACTTCAGGCTGGTCTTGTAACAACGCTCAGCACAAGGTCAATTGTTTTTGGCGCAACAAATCCAAAGGGACACTATGATCCTGATCAATGTATCCTTTCTGTTAGTGGAACTTGATATTTTTTTAGGTAGTCAGAAAGACATAATTTTTGTTTGAAGCACAGGCCTTTTGATTTCCCAACGAGTAGTTTATACTGTTTTATTTCTTAATTAAAGCTAGCTCTATCTGTCAACACCACACTTTCTGGACCTTTGTTAAGCAGATTTGATATAGTATTAGTCCTGTTAGACACAAAGAATCCAGAGTGGGATGTAGTTGTTTCGTCGCACATTCTTTCCGAGGTAATAATTCCAAGATCAAACTTAATGGCTCACCCTTGTGTCACGAAGCATTTAATGGATTGATCTGAATTTCTTGTCTTTGTTGTATTGGTTAGCAAGCAGAACGAGGTAAAGGCAACTCTGATGAAAATCTAAAAAATAGTTGGCCTCTTCCTCTGCTTAGAAGGTAAAATTCTTGGAAACACCTCAACATTCAGGCTAACACATTCCTCTTTGGCTCTTCATATTAACTATCTGTTAATCAGCTCTTGAATGGCTATGAATATGATATAGCTAGTTCAGCTTGAACAGAATGTTATAGATTACCATATGTATTTAACATCCTGGATTTATTCTGTACATGTAAATTTCTGAGAAAAAGGCATATAAATTATAGTACTCATAGTGAAGTCTCTCATCTATTCAATTTCTTTTATGCAAATTAAAGCAATATGTATGATGATTTCAAAGCTTTGTCAATGGACTTTGGATAGTCCAAGACTTCTTTTAGTAATGGAGGGAGCATTGGATCACTATAGAGTCTGTTTAATCATTTTGTATTTTTGTGGGGAATGCATTAGTAAAAATAATGCAAATTTCTGATTGAGTCACCTCCTGTAGTTTATCTATTCTGTATGTTTAATTTCAGTGGGCAAGGAATCAATAAAGTATGAACTGAAAAAGCTTATAAAATATGGCTAGTATCTTCAATTTTGTCTCACCAGTATATTTAAAATGAAATTTTTGAAAAGTAGATCATATAGTATGCTTACTTGCAGGTACATACACTTTGTGAAGGGATATTTTAGACCAGTCCTTACAAAGGACGCTGAAAAGGTTATTTCTAGCTATTATCAACTCCAAAGAAGATCCGCTACTCATAATGCAGGTTTACCTAAACTCAACTATCTTATTTTATAGCATTCTGATTTTCTCCTTCTCTTTTCATTCTGTATTTTAACACATAGTATCACAGCAAGAACAACTGTGCGCATGCTGGAAAGTTTGATACGACTTGCTCAAGGTACAATTCTCCACATAGCATTGACTTTCCTATGTTTTGCGTCCATTTATCTAACTTGCCAATGTGACACAGCGCATGCAAGGTTGATGTTTAGAAATGAGGTTACTCGGCTAGATGCAGTCACTGCCATATTATGCATTGAATCATCCATGACCACTTCAGCTATTGTTGATAGCGCTGGGAATGTGTTGCACTCCAATTTTACAGAAAACCCTGATGAAGAATGTATCCTTACACCATATTTTCATAATTCAAATACATATACAGAATCCCTGTAGAATGTGAGGCTGCAATATACAAATGCCAAATTTTTTTTATTGTGAAGCTGTCTAATATTTTCGTTAGACTTGGAGGCATTATAACATGCTTATTCCAGAACTGTAATCGTAGAACTTGACTCCAGCATATCAAAAAACAACTCTTTAAGATTTCTTTGCATCGAGATGCATAACAGAAAATAATGTTTTGAGTGGATCTTTTGTAATTCTTAACTGAAATGGTACAGATGCCAAGCAAGAAAGGCTAATTCTAGAGAAGTTGAGTTGCATCGACGAATTTCCCGGCATAAACATGCTTGAAGGGTGAACCTGTAGAGGAAATTTAAGAATATTGGAGCAGTAGGCTTTTTTTGTAATATATGAATTGCTGTATAGTTTTCTATCCCGGCTTGCTGTTAAAAAGTTAGTAACTTACGCTTTTCTTTCATTTGAATTATGATAATTGTGAAATCAAGAATTTGTATTTGATTTTTGGTTAAGTACCTACCTACCTACATGGAAGATGCTTGTTTTATTGAAATTTGATGGTATTCTACTAATCTGTGTGCTAGATTTATAATATATAATGTGGCAGTATTCATAGTCGCTTTCTTCACACCTTCCTGTCTATTTTAATTTGTAACCTGCATAATCCAGTTATGGTCCACAGTACGTGTGAGTGAACCTTTATTTATTTATTTTTTTTTGTCGTAGGAATCCGCAGCCGCTATCCGCTGCGGAGGTCCGACCACTGTGAGTGCGCACTAGGTAAACATCGCTCCATGTGCAGTGGTCCGTAAACTATACGGGAAAGGTCAACTGTACTAGACAAATTCGGTGCGACGGGCTCAATCGAGGAAGTGTTAGCAGGAAATTAGAACTCGTGGCCTTTGGGGGTGGGTGAACGTTCTTACTGCTACATGAAGGTGAAAAGTGAAACTTAATAAATTTTGAAAAATATAATAATTATTTTCTTTGGATTGAATTTGAATATGGTAGGTAAAGACTAAACATGTTTAGATTTGGTGAGATTGACGAAATATAAAGTAGGGCCAAGTGGCAATCTCCATTCTCTCGAGGACTTGCTCTGTGTCGCTTCCCAACCCGACGGTAGGGTCAGGAAAAAGGTGGTAGGAAGCAAAAACGAAGGAGAAGTGAGATAAAATGGTCCAAAATGGACAGCAATAAGTTTACGTAGGAGGAACCTCAGCCTTATATTTTGGTTGGCGCCTGCTCCATTTCTACAAGCCTTTGTCTTTGTGTGGTGTTTCTTCGTAGGTGACAATCAAATATGATTGGACTCTTACTGACTTCTTGTTGTCATTATAGACCTAAGAACAAGAACGTCAGAATGGTTGAATTTTCATTATTTGTAATTTCCTTTTTCAGATGCCGTATGAAAAAAGGACAAGAAATAACTAAAACAACTACATATGTTATTAATTTTTAGTAAAATTATACACGAGTACAAAGATTGTAATTGTCTAACAAATAACCCAAAAGATGAACTCTTCCTTTAATTTGAGAAGAAAATATATATTATTATCATCTCATCAGACATGATCTCCTCCTTCCAATGGACAGAATAAAAATTTTCGTTGTCCATGCGGCAAAAGAACCTTAAATATGATTTTGCAACGTGAGGTTTTATTCAACGGACAAATGAATTACAATCATCCCGTTGTCTCAATGTCAATAAAGTAACATGAAATTGATCTCTTCCCCTCGCAGACAAGATAAAAACTTCCAAATGTGGGAAGAGAATTATATACACATGATTTTCTTACCACATCAATAGTGTGAAGTTTTTATCCCGTTCATGGGACATGAGATCAGACATGTAAAGTAATAATAAACACTTTTCACAAAAAAAAAATAAAAAATACGCACACGTATATAATTCTACAAAAGGAAAAATAGTTTTTTCAGACTTCTTTTTTAACAAAGAAAGGAGAAATGAGCCGTGATTGGTTGGTGACGCATTGTTATGCTCTCTGAATATTCTTCCTCTCTCTCTCTTCCTCTCCATCCCCAATTTCCTAGTCGTTTCTTCATTCTTCTTTGAAAAAAAATTAATTTCTCCCTCCCTACTCTTTAAGATGGGGAGTCACAAACCCAAATATTTTTGACCAAAAATCTTGATTTCTCTTCAACTATTTTCCCATCAGAGCCCCAGACTCTTAAACCAAAAATGGCTTCTTTAAAGTTTTCTTGCCCTGCAACCACCATTTCTGGATCTCAGTAAGCCATCTCCATATTCTTCTTGTAATCCTTCTTGTTATTTTATTTGTTCTTTCTCGGTTAGATTCGTAAAGATGGGATTTCAAATTGACTTTTCTCTGGTGGTTTTTGTTTTTTCTGCTTTTAATTCGTTCCGAACGTTTCTAAAGCTATCGTTTTAATCACAGAAAAAACAAAAATGAATAAATTGTATTCAGATCCAAAAGGTTGAAAATTGGTAAGGAGAAAGATACTTGAAAATGCGAGCTGTGTTGATTTGGGGCTCTTCAATTGGTCATAGTCTTTTGGGTGGTATTTTATCAATTCGGTCGGTATGAAATTTGAACATGTTGCAGAACTGAAAATAAGTTACTAAATGGGTTCATAATGAACTGTAGACATGTTTGTTGGAAGAAGAAAAATACCGTTCGTGTTTTTGATTTGAGCAGAATTTTGTGATTTTCTATGCTTTGGCCATCTTGTCTTTCCTGATGATACGAATTGGTAGCTAACCTTGTTCTTGTGCAGGGGATTTAAAAATTCCAGACCTTTTGATGCACTGCATTGTGGTAATCTGTATTCTGTGAATGGCTGCCCTTTACAATCCTTTAATCATCCTAGTGCTAAAGTGGGATTCACTACCAAGGCCAATGGAAGAGTTAAATCTTTTGTGTTATTTGGTGAAGGTGGCCTTCTCCCCAATGCAAGAGGCAAAAAACTTTCTTGTAATGCTCTTATCAGTGACGTGTCTGGTGGAGTTGAAGTACAGCCTGATTCTGTAGATTTTGGAGTACTTGCAGCAGATATGGCTTTGACAACCAGTGGTTTTGCTGTTAAAGATGATGAATTTGACCTGGACCAGCCATCAAAAGGTTTCTCATCTATTACAGCGGCCATTGAAGACATTCGTCAAGGAAAGGTTGTTTATCTCATGGATATTATCAGTTTCATGAATGCTAAATTATTTAGCCGCTGTGTTATTAATTTTCTTTCATGTTTTGGACCACATTGCAGATGGTTGTAGTCGTAGATGATGAAGATAGAGAAAATGAAGGAGACATAATAATGGCTGCATCAAAAGTTACTCCGGAGGCCATGGCTTTCTTTGTGAAGCATGGAACTGGAATTGTTTGTGTGAGCATGAAAGAGGAAGACTTGGAAAGATTGCAGCTTCCCCTCATGGTATCTCTTAAGGAAAATGAGGAGAAACTTTGTACTGCATTCACCGTTTCGGTGGTAAGTTCTTTCTTTCTCCTTACAGGAACACTCTAACCTATGCCTTTTTCCTTATGTATTTTTCTCTTGATTTTGGTTTAAGTAGCTACTATTCTCAACTGGGGATACTTGCTATTTATGTTTGGAAATAAAACTCTTCTAGCCTGTATATTCCACCCATGCAATGGATTAATAGATTTATTTATTTATGTATTTTGTGTTGAGTTTACACACTCCAACACTCGCACAAGCACACAGAGGTAATGGTTTTATGAAATCTTATGACATATGGAGCGGTTCAAAAGATATTTGTGTGGAAGCAAAAGAACTGATGTTATGACCTCTAGATCATATGAGATACGTGCATAAGCATAATTCACAATAACTTTGTTGTAGGACGCAAAACATGGTACAACCACCGGAGTATCAGCAAGAGACAGGGCAACAACGATATTAGCTCTTGTATCAAAAGAGTCAAAGCCTGAGGATTTCAATCGCCCTGGCCACATATTCCCATTGAAGTACAGAGAGGGTGGTGTTTTGAAAAGAGCCGGACACACAGAAGCTTCTATGGATCTTGCCATGTTAGCAGGATTAGAACCTGTTGGAGTTCTATGTGAGGTTGTTGATGATGACGGTTCTATGGCTAGATTGCCTAAGCTTCGGCAATTTGTTCAGCAAGAAAACCTCAAGATTATATCTATTGCTGACTTAATAAGGTAGCTTAGCTGAGTACTTTTTTGAAATCGTTAATAGCAACATTTGCAAGCAGTAGTTTATTAGTATATAAGACTCACATTCTTGTTGGGAGTTACTAAGTGCTTTGTTTCTTTCACGCTCACTAGGACTGCTTTGAAATAGTAGGAAGATGCCTGATTTTTGTTGCTGTTCTTTCATTTTTTCAATTTCTGTGCTTATATTTTGTTGTATCTCATAATTTTCTTCAGTTTCAATAGCTTGTAAGAGGCCTAATACAAACTATGATTTGCAGATATAGGAGGAAAAGAGATAGATTAGTGGAGCACACATCTGCTGCTCAGATACCTACTATGTGGGGCCCGTTCAATGCCCATTGTTACAGGTCTATTATAGATGGAATTGAGCATATTGCCATGGTTAAGGTGAGTGCTTTTGGAAAAATATATTTGTCATGGAAGTTTATACCTTGTACTCTGATCTTAGAAAGTCTCCGTCTGACTATTTCTCATTCCATTCTTATGGTTATCAATCCTCGATTGTAATGTTTTCAGCTTCAACTTAGTCTGTTTCTGTATTTCGAAAGCTATTCTAATGCATATATGGTGTAAGCAGGGCGATATTGGTGATGGACTTGACGTTCTAGTCAGAGTGCACTCAGAATGTCTTACTGGGGATATATTTGGATCAGCTAGGTGTGACTGTGGGAGCCAGCTGGCACTCGCCATGCAACAGATTGAGGCTACTGGCAGAGGTGTCTTGGTTTACCTCCGGGGGCATGAGGGAAGGGGAATTGGTTTGGGCCACAAGCTTCGTGCATACAACCTGCAAGATGCTGGGCGTGACACCGTTGAAGCAAATGAGGAGCTTGGTTTGCCTGTCGATTCAAGGGAGTATGGGATCGGTGCACAGGTACTCTAGCCGTGTAGCGTTGGATGTGTAGCACATAGAATTGGACACATGTAGCACATAGAATTGGACACATGTAGCACATAGAATTGAATTACCAAAAACTCTATTATCTTCGAGTTAGAGACACTTGCATGCGCACACAATACATGCACGGACTTGTGTTAATGCTCTGATGACAATAATGAAAATAGCATCCCTATCTCCTCTTAACCCCAAACCCAAATAAAAAAGATACGAAAAAGCTCACACAAAAGCACAAGTTAATAGAAAAAGAAAAAAAAGGTGACAAAAACACTGGAGGGAAATTTATACAGAAAAAGAGGCATTTATTTTACTCTTAAATCTATACGCTGCTGTATGTTCAACATATGTTACCACAATATGCAAGATATATTGTTTAGTGACTTGGTTTTACATTCATTACGTGGTCATTAAGAATAACAAGAAAACCTTCATCACGACAAGGTTCATTATTAAATTGAAAGGAGTAGGTCTCAGGTATTTGGCATGTTACTTATGGTTTTAGAGTTAAGTAGGAAAAATGCTAGTATATATCAATTTGGGTGCGTTTAAGTTTCCTTGGAAAGAAGTTAGACTCCACTATGTTGAAGTCACATTATTTTCTCGAAAAGCTTTCCTCTTCTTTAGCCATCTATAAGTCCAATATTTGAATCTCCTATATGCCCATTTTGTTGTTCCATTCAGCATAAAAAATGTTGGAGTCGGTTGACAGGTTTACAAGGATTTTGATAGCTTGTACTTAGAAATTATCCTTTTTGCCTGGGATAGTGATACAAGACCCTTTTTCTTATTTTGGTAGATATTAGACAATCATTGATTTTGTGAGCATGTTTGGCTGTGCTTCAAAGTTACTTTTTGAGAAGCAAGTTAGAACTTGCTTTTTAGTGGTAAAAAAGTAACCCAATTGTTTGGCAAAGAAAGTAACTTAACAGTAGGTTAGACTTAATTTTAAGCACAACCAAAATTGCCCTCGTATTTTGGCTCATGGATATGGAATTTTTTAAGCCAGTAATGTGGCATATATGAATAAGTGGGTTTGCTCCACTTCGTCGCATGCGTTATTTGACGCCAGTTATATGGGTTTGTGTTACCTGCTACTTGACAGTTTTTTTGGCTGTTTTCGTTCTTGCATTCAACTTCAGCACATAGAAGTACCAATTTCAGCTAATTTACTAGTAGTGTCGAATTGAACTTGTGTGGTCTTTGTGTGCAGATATTAAGAGATCTTGGGGTTAGAACTATGAAGCTGATGACAAATAATCCTGCGAAGTACAGCGGGCTAAAGGGCTATGGTTTAGCTGTTGCAGGAAGAGTTCCCCTTCTGACTCCCATCACGAAGGAGAACAAGAGATATCTAGAGACAAAACGTGCTAAGATGGGCCACATTTATGGCTTCGGAACCAATGGCCTCCCTAACCTTATCAACGGTAAGAATGGGAAATCAGGTGCAGAAAGTTCAGCTGCATCCGAGCTGTAAAACCATTTGCCTGTTTTCACCTTTCAACGCACTATTTATACTTGTAGATGGACTTAAGAGCAAGAGGGAGGCTACCAGTATTCTTATCCAAATCAAGAATGTGATAAAAATGGAAAAAGAGTATTCTCTCGATTCATTTGCTCATCCCAAATTTATATATGATTCTTCCTGAGAAATTAAGAGAGCTGATCATTCATTGAACCATTTTTTTTACATAAAAGTGTATAACAAGCATTAATTGTCATGGATTCTAGTCAAGTCATTGGGTTCTTTTTCATTATATACGCTATTCTTCTTGGAAAACGTGTACCAAATGTCAATTTACGTTGAAAAGAATTTTGGTCGTTTTCCACTAAGTAATGAGATCAAATGGTTATAAATAGAGATGTAAAGTGAATTGGATTGATCGAGACTTGAGAGAGACATGCATGATGTAGTTCTACACGGTTAATTTAAGTGGCCGAATTTTAGCGAAGATGGTGCTTGAAATGTGTGTGGTTTTAAGCGAAGATGTGAGAACATTTCTTATTATCTTTAACGGCATGTTTGTTGCATAATATTAAGTAATAACTTATCTGCCTTTTTTAATTCTCCTTTGCGATTCAGTCTAATCTACCAAATCTCCCCTAAATATCAATCTATTTACTGTAAAATGATATGGACGCAACTTATTAGAAAATATAAATTTTTGAAATGGTGCATTTCAAGTTTAATTTGATATTTTGTTAGATCTAAAATACAAGAAGCCATAAAATTCTCCCAACAAACGCAATGATCTGATTGTCAACGTTAAATACTAAAATTTCAAAATAATCTTGTGTCTGTCTTCTTCACAAAGACTTTTATCCTTACAACCAGTTCAATCCCTTTAGTTCCCTTGCATTCCAACCCCTTTTCCCAAGTCTCCCTTTGTGTTCACAATCCTCTCTTTCTGCATTTCCATTACCTTACGCTTGTGTTGACAATCCCGTCTCCCTTGATTCGATTTTGGCTTGGCCGGGGTCAATTGATCTGATTAAGTCAATTTCCAATGAGTTGAGATCAATTAGACTAGTTTGAAATAAACATTCTTTCAAACTTAAAATTGACTGTAAATCCTTCAAAAATTAGAATGTAAAACTATTCTTCACTATCTACATCTTCAAAATGCTACTTTTAAACAGATCCACTTTGCATCTTTTGCGCTCTTATCTCCAATTTTTAGTTCTTTGTATGATATTGTCCCAAGGACGACGGTCACTAATTTCTAAAAGGACGAAGTCAATCATGTCAAGAATTAATGTTTGAGAACAAGCTCTTGTTCAAAACAAGACATAAAGAAATACTGAGTCAAGACGTAGGAGTTAGAGATAGAAGCTCTCAACTTTAGCGAGAGAAACACTCACTAAAATTGCCCTTGCATTTGTGGGCTCATTGATCTTTGTTTGATTTCATCTTCATAACTTGATATTTCGAATTCAACAAGGCAGATTTTACAAAATCTGTCCAGTTTCAAGAGGTTAGTTTTGAAGGTTTCAAGTTTGCTTGGAGTCAGTCTTATGTTTCGGCCAGAAGGTTTTAAGGAAACATTGCTACTTAATTTCGGCCAGCAGCTTATGTATAGTTCTCGAAGTTTCGTGAAGTTTTTGGTGTTGCTTGAACTTAGATTCAGATGGTAGTGCTGGTCGGATTCAATCTTAAGATTCAAGACAGTTTCTGGTGGGTTTTGTCCAAGTTCCAACCTCAATAGTGGTTTGTACTAAGCTTGAAGTTGCATCCCCCTTGGTGATTTTGAATTTCTGTGTGCTTATATCGAATTCTGCCTCTTCACCTGGCAAATTTGAACTCAACAACAGCTTTATTGAATTAAGTCCAGGCTTGTGATAGAGTTCCAGTCCCTTGGGATTGGGAATTAGTAAGCAGGCTGCCGGTTTTTGAGTGCTAAGTTCATATATAATCATGTATGTTCTTGCTATTGTTCATGAAGACAGTTTGGTTCTTGAAGATTCATATGTGTAGGGTGGGTCAGCAGGTTTTGATCTACAAATGAAGATTCAGGCTCATGTTTGCTGTTTTTTTTTTTATTTAATGGGGCAATAAAAAACTTTTGAATTTTCAAACTATCCCAGCAGTAAAACTCGCAATCTTATGTTACTTCTTTTGGCAAAAAAATCAATTTTTTTGTACTTTGTTTTGGCCTAATTTCAATAACTTTCTAAAATTGTTCTTGAATTCAGCCTATGCTTTTGTCTGCCTAGCCTTGTACTCAAGCATCATTACATTATCTTCATACCTCCTTGAGTGTGTCTAAATTTCAACATCTGTTTCCTACTCGTCTGGAGGGTCTATTTCTGGGCTGCACATTTGGCTGTTTCCAGCAGCCCGATTTGTTCCATATACTCAGCCTGCTCTAGAGCATGATTGTCAATTTTCGACAGCTTGCTTGCTTGGAATCCCAGCTTGGTCTTGACTTATTCCAGGCGGCAATTGGGATAGAAGTAACGCACTTATTCGAAGGTCCAATGGCCATCCAAGATTTGTGATAATGACCAGGCATATGATGCCTTCTCTTCAACAGATTCTGTGGTGGACCCTATAACCTCAAGAATAAATCTTAGTGTACAACATTGGTTGACAATCATGTGTTGTCAAAATCCTAGTATGTGATGTAGAAAACAGTTTTTTAAAATGCACATGATAATGTCAAAGAAGACGTTGTCAACCATTATTGTACATGTAGCATGATTCCAATCGGAAGTTTCCTCTTCAACAAAGAGCTGCCCAACGTTGACATGGTTTTTGCTCTGGATGCCAAAAGGCAAGTGTGCTACCTATCCACAAGGTAAGCAATTGAAGATTTCTCTTCACATATTGTTCCCCAAACAACATCCAACTGGGTAAACAGATTTCGAAGGCGTAAATATGAAGGCAGCCTTTACTCAATTTTATGGCCCTTGCATATATGCGTTCACTATTAATAATTCGATTGTGACCATCATCATTGGAAAACTTCGAATCCACCTACGTAGAATACATCAAATCAGTCCAGATTCGAAAATTATCTTTAAAGATCTTTAGGTCCTTCAAGTTGGGATTCACGATCAGCATGGTTATAAATTTTAATGACCGAACTACAATTTAGCACTTCGTGTACTTGTTTTGCTGAAATTGTAATACCTTGATTCATGCTCCATCACTTGTTTTAGGATCATTTGATCATTGTATTGTCTTATTTCGTATGCCCAGAGTAGTACTCAAAATTTGGATCAACAGACTGTTAGCTGTCAAGCATTCATGAGGTCCTTGATTGGTCTACATTATTTTCAAAAAATATTTTTTTTTCTTATTTTCAATCACACATTTTGCAATAAAATAATATTACATGTAAATTCAAAAATTTCTTTATTTTTTAACCACACATTTTCATCAAAATACTATTCTAAAATGTATTTTGGCAAAAAATGGGGTTCAAACAGGCTCTAGATGTTGCACACAAAACAAAGTTAAACCAGCAAATGTAGTGTTGTCACCTCATCATCTGTAATACTTTCTGTAATTTCTTTCAGTACAAACATCTTTGTTATATTATAAAGCATAAAAAAGGTTTCTATTTCTAATTTTGTTAATTAAATTTAAGATTTTTTATTAATATCCAAAATCTTCATATGATATTTATTTAGTGTAGAAGCGTGCTTTTTTTTTTTCCCCCCACAGCCATATAGAAAACCGTGTTTTACCAAGCATGAGAATATTTGACTTAAATTATGAACAATCATGCTTGGGGTACAATCATTAATGACAATCTTGTTGACTACGTATCATGTGACAAACTGTTTAATGACCATTCATAATTCTTTAATTTTCATGTTCATTTTTAATCATACAATAAAACATTCTGCACATGAATTCAAATTATTTTATATTTTTTAACCACACATTTTCTTAAAATTCACTATTCAGAACATTATTTTTCCCAAATAATGGTGTCATCAAACATGCTAAATCTTCAATGTTTTATGATTTCTTCTCTCACAATGGTAGCGTCTAGGGTTTTGGTTTTCGTGATGATAGCTTTGTTGGTGGAATTCATCCAGCTTACGCTCCTGTTCCAAGCAACACTTCAACGTATTGAATTTGTCTCCTTCCTCACCATTTGTCTCCTTCCTCACCAGCCTTCATCAACTATCCACCATCAACCTCCTGCACCTCACCTTCCGTCGCCATGCTGCCAGTCCTAGATGTTACTTCAAAGTTTGCAGTGAACAACGATGTACTTAACAGATGGTTAATTGCCTGATTGGTCACTGAACTTTACGTACGGGTCCGTTTGATTACAAGAATGAAATTTGGATGGAAAGAAAACGAATTTCAGAGAATTGAATTGCCTAGAACTTGTTTTATTGGGAATTGTCAATTAATGGTGTTTGATTGAAATAATTTTCCACCTGGAAAGTTGAATAGTGTAAAGAAAAAAAATGTACATTCTGATAAGAAGTGATTTTTGGAAATAGAAAATGCAAAAATTGAATAGTGTAAAGAAAAATTATGATTTGAAAATTGAGTAGTGTAAATAATGTTTTCTCCCTTGCCAAGAAAACATTTTTCCTATTAAACAAGCTAAAAAGTGAAAAATGTGACATAATTTCCATCTTCCATGGAAAATTTTGGCCTATCAAATAGGACCTAAGGTTTTTAGGAGGTTACTGAATTTCAAAAGTTTTCCCATAAGTCACTAAACTTTATAAAATGTAATCACATCCATCGCTCAATGACTAATAGGGAAACTTTTGTAAAGTTCAATGACTAACAGGAAAAATTTTGAAATTAAGTGATCCCTTGAAAACCTTACGCAAAGTTCAATAACCAAATCAGGTAATTAACAAATATTTATGTTTTTTTAGTCTTTTTCTTTGTTTTTTCTGTACTCCTATCCCACAATTTTATTATCTCTAGTATCATTAAACTTAGAAAAAAGAATAGCCTTTTATCTCGAGAATAACTAACAAGATTGTCTACGACCTCTCTAAGATCAAAGAGACAATAGATGACAAGAAAAAGTTTGACGATGTTAGAGAGAATAAAATTATGAAGTAAGATTATAGAAAAAAGAAAGAAAAATACTAAAATTAAAAACATAAATATCGATAAATTACATGATTAGTCACTGAACTTTGCGTAAGCCTTTGAATTTCA